CCACAGCTATGATTCCACATCAGTGCTCTGTAAATGCTCTGTTTTTGCTTTATGGTTCCAATGATACGCTCTTCTATGGTACTTAAAGCCAGCACTTATTGCAAAACATGAGGACCTATTAGGGTCTGAATCACAGTGTTTAATACTGCTTTTTGTGACCTAACATTGCAGGGGCTAAAAACCACGCTGACAATTCACACCATCAAAACAATTCTGCTTTTTCCTGTGTAACAGCAGTTCTTTGGTAATGATTTACAAGCAAGCCCCCTCGGTAGCAGAGACAATGTGAATCCTGGTGTTTCTTTAATGTGGCAGGCCTGTAAGTGTGCATCCAGGTATGCTTTCAAGGAACAGGGGTGGTCAGGGGTGGTCAGGGGTGGTCAGCGGTGGTCAGCGGTGGTCAGGGGTGGTCAGCGGTGGTCAAGGGTGGTCAGCGGTGGTCAGGGGCGGTGTGCGGCTCTGAAGGTTGGACTATGCCTATGTGAAAAGTAACTGATTCCTATGCACTTGAGCTCACACTTGTACAAATGCTAAAATCAAATTGCTCCAGGGTCTTGCTGGTCCTGCTTTCTCAAAGATATAAATGTAAAATATGATTATAATGATGATGATGATTTATTATCAGAAGTATTCTTGGTAGTAGTAGTAATAATAATAATAATAATAATAATAATAATAATAAAACAAAAAATAAGGGTTGTACCAGACTTCCAGTGCTTGCATTTGTTCTTTTTGGAAGATGCTACCAAAATTGATAAAACTTCAAAATTTGACTGCTTATATTGACATAAAACTGGCCTATAAACTTCTAGAGCAAATTAGACGAGGCTCAGCATTTCAGGAGCAATGAAAAAGGCTTTGCTGAGGACAGATTGTTCATAATTCAGGGCTTAAAGGACATTCAGAGCCATCAGAAGGGATATAATGCTGTTGTCTTCGCAGAATGTCATGGTCTCACGCCTTTTTGTGGTTCAAAGCCCTTGTCCCCAATACTGATGTCATCGAACAAAGCCAGACCACTGACAGTAGCGTGAAAAACAAAGACAATCACACCCAATGTCCCAGTGAGAGACTGTTTTATATTAAAGAAGCTGAATCACGTAGTTGGCTTGTTTACATTGCAGAAAGTCACTCTGTGGTGTCAGGGTTAGGGTTAAGGAGAAAGCCATTAATCCCCACCAGCCCATCTTAACCATAGGTAACCAAACAAAATACAAGACTTTTGCCATTTTTAGCTGTTTAATAGCAGTGAAGGATTTTTATAAAATTGAGTTTGTCCTTGAGGAGTGAAAATGGTTTCTACGACATCAAAATAACCAATGTAATATATAAATATATACAGTACATCACACACACACACACACACACATAAAGAGAGAGTTCATATATTCCTATTATTGTGAAGACTCTCATTTCTATAGACATAACCCTAAAGACAAGACTTTCGGCATTTTCAGTTTTTTGATTGAATTCACAGGCTGAGTCCATATACAGTACAGGCCAAAAGTTTGGACACACCTTCTCATTCAATGTGTTTTTTTTATTTTCATGACCATTTACATGGGTAGATTCTCACTGAAGGCATCAAAACTATGAATGAACACATGTGGAGTTATGTACTTAACAAAAAAGGTGAAATAACTGAAAACATGTTTTATATTCTAGTTTCTTCAAAATAGCCACCCTTTGCTCTGATTACTGCTTTGCACACTCTTGGCATTCTCTCGATGAGCTTCAAGAGGTAGTCACCTGCAATGGTTTTCACTTCACAGGTGTGCCTTATCAGGGTTAATTAGTGGAATTTCTTGCTTTATCAATGGGGTTTGCGTTTAGTTGGACGATCATTTATTTTTCAACAGGACAATGACCCCAAACACACCTCCAGGCTGTGTAAGGGCTATTTGACCAAGAAGGAGAGTGATGGAGTGCTGCGGCAGATGACCTGGCCTCCACAGTCACCGGACCTGAACCCAATCGAGATGGTTTGGGGTGAGCTGGACCGCAGAGTGAAGGCAAAGGGGCCAACAAGTGCTAAACACCTCTGGGAACTCCTTCAAGACTGTTGGAAAACCATTTCAGGTGACTACCTCTTGAAGCTCATCGAGAGAATGCCAAGAGTGTGCAAAGCAGTAATCAGAGCAAAGGGTGGCTATTTTGAAGAAACTAGAATATAAAACATGTTTTCAGTTATTTCACCTTTTTTGTTAAGTACATAACTCCACATGTGTTCATTCATAGTTTTGATGCCTTCAGTGAGAATCTACCAATGTAAATGGTCATGAAAATAAAGAAAACACATTGAATGAGAAGGTGTGTCCAAACTTTTGGCCTGTACTGTATATATATATATATTAACAGGTATTCTCACATTGTGGGTACATTTCATCCCTACAGTGTGGTAAATGCATACGTCACCCCCTCCACACACAGTGGGGGTGGGATTCGCACTTACACCCCTGAAGCTGCGAGTCACGAGGCTACCCACAAAGAGTTAACAAAAGGCAAATTAATTAAGTGGTTTAATCCAACTGGAAATTCCCTTCATTCATATATGGTTTGGTTCCGGAGAACTGGTTTGCCATATAAGGTGTGAATGTACTCCGCCAGTTGCGAAGAAACTAAGCTGACATAATCATGCAACAATCCGTGTATTATTATTTATTTATTAAGCAATGCATACACATGCAATGGAAGAAAACTCGAAGAATCTAACCGGTTCATGCGCGACAGGTTTAGTTCCCGCCGACGCAGCAATAAAATAGCCTGAACAGGGACGGGAAAAGCAAGGTTCATTGGGAAAAGGGGTTTCCAAAAAAATGAGCTGAGGCTGTGTGAACAGGGGCGCTGCTAAGGATTTTGGGCCCCATGAAAAGAATCTTGACAGGGCCCCCAACACAGCTGAGACTTTTTTCTCTGGGCCCCCTCTCAGTCATGGGCCCCGAGAATGGTCATCGTTTACCGCCCATTTACAGCGCCCCTGTGTGTGAACACAACCGGTGGGAAAGCAGGAAAAGCAGCGTGGGAGAAACAGGTGTGCATTAAATTCAGTAAGCGTGTCTGGTTTGGATTAGCAGCCTAGAAATGAAAAACAAGCTGGACACAAAGTTGGACAACCCCAGTCAGTGGAACACCATCCCTAACAAAAAAGTAACATCAAGGAAATAATTTGTAAATTAGTTAAAACGTGAAAATAGCACAGGTGAACATTTCTTAATGTAAAGTGTTTTAAGTTGCTTAAATTAATATATAATAGGCAACACGTACCATTAGAAGTACACAAAGCGCTGTAACACAACACCTGTCAGAGGTGAGTAAAAGAATCCCACATTACTTGTAAGACTACAGTTTCACAATTAACCTAATTTGTAAATTTGGTTGATGTACCCCCAGGCAACGAATCAGGTACTGTAATGAAACCTATATGGGTAGATCTACTTATAAATCTAGATTTCCCGTTTGCATTTTGATAGCCTACTATAATGATAATTAATTAAGTATTAGAAGTATTTATTCGTGTCACTCAAATTCTTTCGTTCCTAAATTCTCAAATATGCACTTGCAATTTAAGTTATTTAACTTTGGGCGCACATACAGCGCCGCAAACTTCGTTGTGTCCGGAACTGTAACATAATGCCCTCTTCTGGAATCAGCTGGTAGGTGCAGCTGAAAGGCGGCAGCCCTTGTTCCTTTTGAACCACAAAGCAAAACAACGCCTACAAACATAGCTAAAACTCTAAGAAATATATTCTTAAACGAATAGGTACAAAATTATTAAAATGTCACACACATCTGATTTTGCTGTTAAATTCCATTAAGGTACACTGTCAGAAGGAAGAGTATAGCCCTGGTACAGTTTTGTACCACAAGGTACAAACAACATTAATATACCCCCAATGGTACAAAAGGGTTCCTCAGAGTCCATTTCTGTACCTTAAAGGGCACATTTACCTACAGCTAGGGTATAATTAGCAGACCCTTGAGGGTACAGCCACAGTGACAGGTAATTGTGCCCTCAAATGTACAAATCGATACTTTTTTTCTGACTGTGTAGGGTGACCAAACCTCCTCATTTTCCCGTACTTGTCTTCTTTTTGGGACCTACATGCCTGAAATGTCCGGGATTTCAATTTGTTTCATGCTGACGTTTGCTTTCTATTGTCACATTTTCTTCGTGCATATTTGCGTTGCTTTGACGCCCCTCTTTGCCTCCTGCACCCAGCTGACTGTTTTTATAAGCAAAATATGGTCATCCTTAATTCTTAACGAAATACAAGAGAACAAAGGACGTCAGAATATCCCGAATTTGTTTTATTTCGTAGAAATGTTGACTTGAATGTTTTAGAAACATTAAAAATAATTCTGTGTGAGCATTTAAATTAGGTTTTAAATCAACGGAGTGCAGCATTTGTTAAATTAGAACTCTTGTTCCGTAATTATTTAAATATAGCTGTTAATAGTTAAAGGTTGTATTATTACATTTCATTAACGAATCACAAAGTGTTTTTCTTATTTCCATTTTCTAGTCATACACCAAACTTAATTTTATGCAGAGCCTGCCCAGAAATGCGTACTTGTAATCAAAGAGTAAATATCTACAATTTAATGGATGAGTACATATTTAGAATTAATGAGCCACAGAGGAAAGCCGACATGAAAAAAAAAGAAAACTTTTTTTTATTGCATTTGGAAACACAATCTTTCCTGTTACTATAGAAAGCTATTCATAGGACTAACATGCTCTTACATGAATCAGCTGCCAGAAATATCTTAGCAGTGCTGCCTGGGGTGTTTGGTACCACGGAAGCATGGATGAATTTGTTTTCAAGACTCCTTGCTTGCAATCAAGCTTTTTTTTTTAGGTTTCCCACTCATCTCATTTACACAGATTTGTGCATCTGAAAAAATGTACATTTGTGCGCTGAAAAATTAACAAAGTTGGGGAAAATCACAGAACGATGTGTCCAGTCGGGGGTCCCTAATTATTCTGAAAAGCATGCTTTTAATCATCATATTTTATGGTTTAGTTGTAGCTGAAAGATCATTGACTGTCCTCGTTAAGGGCGGAAAACAGTAAAGTTAATAGTGTACGTTTAGCCTATAAGATAACGTCTTTATGACGCTCACTTTATTACTGCTGTGAGAAACATCTCCATAACGCCTTTCTAAAGGCTTGCAGCTCTAATTAGCTCAATGACCCTTGTGCCTTTAATTAAAGGATAGAACCACAGTCACGTAGTCATGATTAATCTCATGGGTGTACTGCTCTTCATCTTGTGTTCGAACAAGTATAACGATTACTGTTTTTTTTTCCTGGATTGCCGTCTAAAATGTTTTTTGAAGATGGCTTTATCAAAACTACCCAGGGAATACCTGTAAATGAATAGATCCCTTAATGTTGCATACTTTAAAATGGTTATTTAAAAAAAGTTTTTAAAAGGTTTTATTGAACCTTTTCATTATACATCCATACGGTTTATATTTTATAATAAATCGCATAATACAAACAGAATATGTCTCTTTCGCCAAGTGTAAAAATAAATGTTTAATTTGATGTTTCTCATATGACCGGTAGAGGGCGTTAGTGTATCAACAATGTGAAGCGAGTAGGGGAGCCAGCCTATTCAAGTTAAGCCCAAATAGTACAACTTTAGTATTGTTACTTGGTAGAAAGAGTATGATTTATTCATGTTATTTATTCATTATTATTTTTGCTTCATACGTAGTATCATGTATAGCATTATTTGGGAACAATAACATGTGAAAAAATTTGATCCTCCCCTTTAGTAATTCTGATTATATTTATAAATGCAATGTCTGTCGCAGACACAATTATTAAATATACCACAAAATTTGTAATTTTTTTCATAGTTATTTTTTTCACTCCTGCATATTATTGAGACAAGTTTACATTGTGTGTTACAACGTTTTCATTATTTTTGTGTGATACTTGGGTAGTTTCAGTACAAATGCATCACGTCTTGCAACTTATCGTCCTGCTCCAATCAGAGAACAGCGACTCTGTTGAAGGGATCAATTTGCTTTCTTCGCTGAGTCGAGGGCCGGTACTGTAACACCTCGGCTGGTACCTCCTTCTAACTTCGGGTAGAAGCAAAGAGACACGGAGGCGCAGGGACAGCATCTCTGCTCCGAACCAGTGGGCTTTTCCTCTGCGAGGGTTTTGCTCGCTTCTTTTAAACCAAATGTCTTTCTCGTTGCCTCGACGCATCTCTTGAGATTAAAAAGCGGAGAGCCATTTTAGATAAACGGGCAGATATCCCAGATCGGTGGCCAGAAAATGGGCAGTGTACCTTTGCGTTTGTGTACGCTGGTGTTGCTCCTTGTTTTGTCAGCTGCCCAGGAGTCCAACGACGGGGGGACAAAGGAGGACATCCCTGAAGGAGCTTCAACCTTGGCCTTCGTCTTTGATGTCACCGGTTCCATGTACGACGATCTGGTGCAAGTAATAGAGGGAGCATCTAAGATTCTGGAGACGTCGCTTAACAGACCGAAAAAAACTCTGTACAACTTCGCCTTGGTCCCCTTCCATGACCCAGGTAAGAATTTCTTCCTCCTGCAGTGCATCCAAGTGAGAGTACATTGTTAAAATAGCACCATAATGCAGAAATTATATCTATAGTGTAGATGATGCGTTTATTATGTTGATGATGCTGACGAGTGTTCTTTTTTTATAAATGATACAGCAATTCTGAAGTATAGCCCTTTCTAACTGTATTAAGTGGCGCCCCGTTTTGTTTCCGCAGAAGTGCTTGTATTGTTGAGCCCAATGAATGGACGACAGTCTTAATGAACCAGACTATTTGTTTCTGCATGCTCACAAGATATAAAAAATGTCTTAAGTTTTTCCTGTAAGGATACATTTCCCAATATTACTACGACTCCTCGAAACATGACAGGGTTTGTGCCGCCTTGGTTATCGTTAATAAGAAAATAACATCCCCCAGCAGCTGTGCTGGAAAGCAAATATTAACCGTTTGGTTAATAAAACAAGAGTAACGAGATTTTGAGATAAAGCCACGCATACGTGTCACGAGGTGAGAAATGTGTTGGTTTGTTGTGACTCAGTGATCCATTGATTTCAAAGCATTCTTACCCCAGATGTTACACTAATCTCTCGCTCACACAAATCGACTAAGATGTACTTATATATTGCTTAGGTATTTTATATCAATATTGACTAGCATACACAAAGTACATTAGTATTTACATTACTTTGCGGGTATAGAAAACATGGAGCGTAAGATCTTGATGATCGGTTGTATTGTAAGTGTAGCGGCACTGCAACTGCAGTTCAGTGGATCTTAGATCTGCTGAAGTAAAGTTAAGCCAATGACTTGTCACAGTTTGTCAAGGAGCGTTTTTCCGAACAGCTGACAGCACATGCATATGTACTAATCAATTGTAATGATAGATAAATGGACAAAGCATTCGCCTTACGTTACAGCAGCACACTGTAAACGAATTTAGCTGGCCAAACCTGAATGTTGTGTCACTTAGAGTAAAAATCGAGACGAAGGAGCTCATTATTCTCGCATCTGTCATACGGGACATGCACAACGGTTATGTTTTTTTTTTTAAACTGAGGTGGAAAGAAAACTGCGGCCAAGAAAACGATTGGTTAGGGAAAGAGTCAGCAGTGGAAAACGGGGTCCTTCCGCTGTGCAGCATCCTTAGAAAGAACCTGGAACAGACTTGTTTTCTGTTTTTAAACATCGCCAGCTGAATAGACTTTCCATCATATCCTCAGACCTCTTCGGAATCTCTTTCAAAAGACAGTATCTGGATAATATTTCAAACGACCATCCACTGAAGATGGAGATTTCTGACAAAAAAAGAGAAAGGGTTCCGTAGAGGGAGGATGCTCTTCAAAGGTTCCGCAGATCAGCATTCCAGATGTGTGTGGTTGCTTTTGGTGTTGATGTCGGCGTGGTGAATTCTTTAAGGGATTCTGAAGTGACACAAAGTTTATTTGGCTGCCATGCGAAAAAAAAAAAAAAAAAACAGCTTATGTTCTGTTCATGTGTTAGATGAAATCGTATAATACTCTATATATCTGGGAGTTTTTTGTAGGTTCAAGTAGCAGATGTATAAGATGTATAATAACATTTTAGTAGTCTTATTAAAAGACACTAATTAAAACTTATTAAAAGAGACTAAAAGAAAACATAGGTATACAGGTACGCTTTAACAATGCATATAAAATGTGGCCTTAGAAAGGTGCCACCCCCCCCTCCCCCCAACAAATAACTGGTGTGTTATACCTGCAGTTCAAGGTCAATGTTGCCGGTAGGGCGATGCCAAGGGCCCCGGGTCACGTATTTGGATTGGTCTGGGTGGGGGCCCAACGTGATCAGCTTTCATGGGGTCCGGAATCTCTAGCGGGTGTTTTTCTATAAGAGGATTCAAACCTGATCAAACCTTTCGAGGGTGTGTTAGCCGGATGCTCACATGGCTGATTTAGTGGGCTATATTGCAGGTATGTACAAAACTGATTCAGACTCTTGAAAATAGTCCTACTTCTTGAAGTGTTTTATTTCAAAAGGGGGGAAATATTTCTACCCCATTTTCCATTCATAAGGAAGTAGCCCTGTTTTATTTGGCCTGCTTTGAATCCAGTGAATCCACATGGTATTTACTTTGGAGCGTTAGACAGTAAACACTGGGGTCAGGGGGCTGAGGACTTACTGTACACTCACAAGGTATCCTTTTGTCTAAAAAATATAACCAGCAATGATTTTTTTTCAGTTGCTATGATTACACAGCACTGGCACAAGGATTCAAAAGCTATGGCTGTAGTACAGGGCATAGGGGTCATTAGGTCCGATCACTCGGGCTATGGCCCCGAGTTTTTTACGCCTAGCCCCGAGTATTTTATGCCTAGCCCCAAGTATTTTAAGCCTAGCCCCAAGTATTTCACCCCTAGCACTGAGTATTTTACACCTTGCCCCTATGCCAGGGCTATTGAGAAATAAAAAGAGTCAAGCCCTGGGTAAATTTGATTTAGCCTGTTTTTTCAACAGCTTGAAACACCCCCTGCAGGGATTCAGAAGGTATAGTTTCAGATAATATAAGTGCATCCATAGGTTAGCGTGCTGTCATTGTCCCCGGGGAGGACCAGGGATCGTAAATGCAGACCATTGCATAATTTGAACCATTATGGTTCTCAGAAACTAAGCACCAAACTATCCAAAGCTGTACAATGATGTTATTGTTTTGGGCAATATACCAGGCCACCAGTCCACCGGTCTGTTTAGTTGCATTCATTGATTGATACACTTCTGTGCTTAGTCACAAAGAATATGGCCGAAGAAAATTTGCATGGAAAATTATTAGCAGAAAAGAAAATCTATATTAGTTACTGTACGTATAACAAAAGGCACCACAGTGTCCAACAATCGGCAATTGAAACACCACTTTGAATGTAACCTGTGGCAGCACATCTGGCAGCTGGAGGGGAATAACCCAGAGCCAATACAATTCTTCGCTGATGTTGCTCCTCTGAAGGCAAACATGAAAAAGGTCTTGTGGAGTCACATTGTGTATGAAACTATTGTTTATTATATATTTCTTACTCTAAAAGTATGTTACTGTTGCCATGCATTTGCAGGGAATCCATTTAATTTTGTGGACGTGAGCAATCGCTCCAAAGCATGAACAACAAAGCTCGTCACATCGAAAAAAAAAAAGTTTAATTTCTTCAGTGCAGCGTTCTTTAGCAAGGCAATTAGCTCAGAGTTGAAGTGGTGCTTTTTTTTCCTCTCATCTGTCATTTAATCCTCATCTTAGCTATCAGCTCCAAAGGTGTGCACGGCACCCTGTATTTAAGTGGTGAAATAAAGGTCTTGAAATGACATGGGATGTGTCAATGGGTGCTTTTTAAACCTAGTGCGTGTTCAAAGGCTCACTGTGCTTCTTTGTAAAACTTCAGGTTTCAAACATTTGTCTCAGCTGCCTGCCTTGTCAGATTACAAGGGTCCTGCAATCGCCAAGAACAAAGTCATGATACTATTATGCAGGAATTCAAGGAAAGAAAATAACTGGAAAAGGTAAAAGCAGCTCGGTCAAGAGTAATTATGTCTCTCGTGCTTACTGTATGTGGCTTGATCAAGATATTAAAATAGCCTTTAATTTTTACCATTTAATTTTGCCATCTTTTCCTAAAACGTCTTTTTGTTAAAGCTTTGGTGTTTCTTTGGTTATGTGCTTCCCTCTTTTGTATTGTCTCTTCATAATTTCATTAGAAACAGATGGTCATTCCTTCATGAGCATCTTCCAGTTACATCATTGGAAGATCTGCTTTAATGAGGCATTGTTCTACCAGCGTGGAGATGTCAGCATTCGCAAAGAGTACTGAACATAAGCTTTGAGGTGTGTGGTTGAAACGCTCAAGCTTTTGCACAGAGACAAAGAGGCTTGTGATGGAGAACAAAAAGTTTGCAAAGACATGATACATTGAAGCTCATTTTAAAGCATTTTCAAGTCAAGCTCTAGAAGCCTTTGTGCAGTATAATTTGGAGGTTCAGGCTGGGAAAGTTTGGAATGGAGGTTCAGAATAAAAGTGTCACTTTTTCAGGATATAGGGAATGTTAAAATTACCACATAGCCAGTGTCATAAGCTGTGTGCTTGAAATCATGAAGACCCTTATGGTGGAACTTCCTCTGAAATCTGAAGCTGGTTCAATCACCATAATCGACATACAGAACAAACTTCTTGATCCCATAGATTTGCTGATAATCCTGTCCTTGCTCTGAGTGTATTGCACGGTATGTGCTACAGAGACAAGCACAGTCTCTACAAACTGAATGGGGGGGTTTGAGTTCCCCCCTGAAACCCTGCTCTGCGTCTACGTGCAGTATTTCAGTTAGCTATTCTTGTGTTGTGCATCATAACACTTGTGTGTGAGATGAGACAGGCAAAAGTACGTGACCAACCCATTCAGTCACCTGTACCAAATCACCAGGAATATAATATAGTCTTAGTCTTGTTTTGTCTAGGCAACATACACCCAGACCTGGTTACTCTCTCTTTTGACCTCACACCTGTCTTGTTTCCTCATGATTGTTTCCTCCTTTGCTAAACATGAAACCCCCCACCCCCCCCCAAATACCATCCAATCCCCCCCACCATCGTGACGCATGTTTCAACCAGAAGAAGTGTCACAATTTGCCCTACATATAGTTGTGGGTTTCCTGGTATTATTCAAACAAATTGCATTGCAGTGATTATCTCATGCAATGCATGCATTAAGGACATTACACAAAAGTACAGAATTGTTGTTGCTTCTGAAACTTAATGCAAGGCTGGAGTTACAGCATTTGAATATACTTTGATCATGGGCTGCTTTTCAGTCAAGGAGTTGACTGAACAACCATGGATCGAGTCATTGAAAAATAGGTGCTTCAAAGGCCTTGAGACAGAAAACCTGAAGCTTGTATGGTTCTGCTCGGTGAGAGATTGCACTGTGACCTGTCATTTTTCCCCTTTTCTTGTGGGTTAGTCAGTCGCTGCTGCGTCCAGCCACGTTGTTTGAATTAC